CCGCAGGTGCCCTCTCTCCCTGGAGGTAGGGTGATTAGCCGTCCCGATTTGCTGAGGATAGTCCCAGGAAAACAAGGAAGAGGTGGCAGCCTACTGCCAGGCAGGACCCAGACAGAGTGAAGTCATCACACAACACAGGCTGGGTGTGCGGGGCCTGGTAAGGGACAAAAGGGACTACACCTGCCCTTCCCAGAAACTGCAATAAAGGTCCTTGGGGGGCACTGAAGGGCAGAAGCCAGGGGCTCATGATGATGAACACCACTGACGAGGAGGCTCCCATAGAGAGTGGTGGAGGTGGGCGATACAACATAGCCTCCCTGGGGGCACAGTGGATGGTCAACCGGCCAAAGTACAACCACAGACTAGGGAGGTGTCTGGGTTCCCATGGGGAACGGACCCTGTAGCACCATGGCAGAAAGACATTGGAATGATCCCCTAGCCCTTCCCAAAGGGACCTCGAGCTATGCACGGGTGACTGAACACTGGGAAATGGGAAACCCAGACAGGTTGAGGCTGGGGCAACGTATTGTCCAATCTGACACTGACTTGGGAGACTCGATAAACTCTGCCTCCGCATATGCTTAAGGAAGCCCCCCCACCACGTACCAGAGTTTCTGAGCAGAGGATGTCACTGGGTCCAATGCATGCTGGGCCAGTCCTGAGGATTTCAGTGGTCTTGAGCAGGGAGAGCCTTGCAACCAATATACTCCAGAACAAGGTGCTGAGCTTCATGAAATGTCTTCTGAGGAATCTTTCAGAAATAAGACAAAAATGGTAATACAGCATGAAGTCAGCTGAGTAAAAAAACGCATAGAAAAAGAACTGAGAGAATACACCCAAATTATGAATGTTCTTGCCTCCGAGTAATGCCTTATGAGCATCCTTTGTCCTGATTCTTCATGCACTTTCTTTCCTTGCCATAGTGGCCACAGTGAGCATGCAGATACTCAAAAGTCAGCAGAACAGGTCTTCTGCACAGGACCCATTAGTCTACCCATTAGTGCCCCGTAGCCATGGTTATGTGATGGCAACACGTGCTCCAGGTCCCCCACACCCAAATCTCATAGACAAATCAGCTGGACGGCATGTCCGCTCGGCCACAGCGTGATGTTTGGAAGCCCACCTACTTGCTAGGGCAAAGTACTAAGGCCAAGCAGTCACCAAATGGATTACAGAGACAAGGAGCCTTTTCTCACAGGCAGAGTGCCGGAAGCAAGGGCACCTCCTCCCAGGGAACCTCTCATCTGAGTTGACAGGCAGCCTCTAGCAGGAGGAACAGTGGGATAGTCCCTGACATGTGGTTTTGCCTACCATTTGGAGAGTCTAGATGAATACTGAACCCAAAACAGGCCTGCAAAGAGAAGGAAACCAGTCCCTGAGGGGCAGGAGGAAGAATCTGAACACAAACCACCAAGGCAGGATTAGCACCCAAACTTCACAATGAGTGTCCACAACTTGATGCACAACAAACAAACAAATAAAAAAACAAAAGGAAAACCGAACCAAACCAAACCACACACACACACACACACACACACACACGCACGCGCGCTCACAGGCAGTTCAGTAGAAGAATGGGCCACAGGCAGTTCTCGGAGGAGGAAATGGGAGCTGATGAGAAGTACAGGATGAAAACCAGGAATTTGGGTCAAGCAGGTCCCAGGGCGGTGGTGCCACACAACCTGTGGCAGGAGCAAACTGGAACCCTCTCAGGGCCTCAGAGCATAAGAGGCCTGCACAGTGGGGTAAGGAAGGACAGCGGACTGCAAAGGCATGTGCTCAGAGGGCAATGGAGGTCAGGGAGCTCTGCAGGATGCTGCCAGGGGAACAAGAAAGGTAGGCTGACTTTTGGCAGGTCCTGGGCTCCAAAGATGAGGCTATGTCCATCGTCACAGTCCCTTCAAAGATTGATGGCAGAAATGGTAAGGATTTCCTAAAACAAGATGGGGTGAGTTATAGAGGTGGAATTGCAGGCTGGGGAAGAAGCGGAGCTTGAAGAGGAGAACCTCTCCTGCCCTAGGAGGCCATGAGCATCCTAACAGTGGGGGACAGCAGAGGTACAGTGTCTGGGAGGGAGCCGGAGGAGTCCCAAGAAGGTTCAGATGTCCTCTGACAGTTGCCAGGTCTCCAGGGCACCCATAAAAGGGCAAGCAGTGGAAGGCAGGAGTGCGCCGGGTCTTGGAGGTGAAGGCTGAACTGCCTGCCAAGATGACCGGGGTGGGGGGGGGGGGGGTGAAAGCCTGTCCCTCCCTACCAGGAATTTGTTCATGAGAGGGGATGGGTAAGGTATCAGCTGGTAAAAGGAATGTCACCTGGAGGTCAAATATCAGAATGTTTTAGGGTTTTATGCCAACACTTTATTTGTACTGAAATTCAGGAGTGAGCTGCAACTGGATCTCTTTGACAGGGGCAGCCAAATACCACCCCACGCCCACCTGCAACATGGCCAGGACACTCTTCCTGGGCCCACCCACCCGGCAGAGAATTGGCCTTGTGGCCGCTACCCTTGGACTTCCCCTTCATCAGACCACACTCCCCATCTTTGCTGCTCTGCTCCCTGAGGGAGAGATCGTACACTCTGTTCTCAGCATACACATGAAGGTCAGAAAAGGAGTCCAGCTGTAGTGCCATCACTGTGCCCCACAAGTAGACATAGAGTGCAAGTCTGTAGTTCATTGAGCACAGTCTATTTCTTCAAACAACAGGATATGGGAGGAACACTACAAACTGGCCATCCAACTTGAAACCCCTGCATGAGGTTCTGGCATGTTTGGCAGCAGCCGGTGACCATCTTGGGGCAATGGCATGGGTGGCATTGGACCTGGTGATCATTAAAGCCCCCTGTGGCCCTCAGGCCTAAATCCCATGAAGGTACATTCTGCCCCACACCTCGTGGCCAGCATTCCTGTTATCTCCAGCTTCCGCAAGGAGGGAGTAGGTGCAGCTCACGGAAAGAGAAGGAAGTCCTCTGTTGATGCAACATTTACTAAGCACCTACTGGGGCCGGGGCACCTGGTTTACTGAAACCAGTAAGACTCAGGCTTAGCCTTCAAAGAACTCGAAGCCTTTGAAGGAGCCCAGGCTTTCAGAGGCAGGCAGTTACAACCCTGGGAGATGGGAGTCCCGTGAAGGAAGGTAGGTGGGAAGGTGCAGGGTACTACCCAAACTGGGAGTCAAGAGTACCTGATGCTTGAGTGTGGGGTGAAGAAGGGGATGCTAAAGTTGCACCTGGAAGGACAGGGGTTTGCCGGGACAGGAGGAGGCAGGCACTCCAGGCCTCAGGAAGCACAGGAGCACAAAGGTGCTCAGGGTGCAGGGACTGCGCAGCACAGGGACCCAGACTGTTGGGTGATGAAGGAGAGCTGGGACCACTGGAAGGCCCGCCCACAGCCCCCAGGTGTTTGGGCTTAAACAAGAGAGGGCTGCACAGCGTTTTCAGCTGGGGGGTTGATGAGGATGGATGTGCAGTTAGATGGCATGACGGAAGACCCACTGGAAGAGGAAATAGAGGGATGTCCAGGCCAGTGGGGAGGCTCAGGTAATAGCACTGGCTCCAGACCATGAAGCCTGGCCTCAGGGAGTAGCAGTGGGGACAAGAAAGGGAAGCATTTATTCTGAACAGGTATTTTAGAGGCACGGGCACAGGACTCAGTCATCAAGTAAAAGAGAGGAAGGGCAAGGGTAAGTGGACATGAGGAGGCAAGTGTGGAGGCACTGAGAGGGTTGAGCCCCTAACTGAGAGGTAGGAGAAGAGAGGAAACAGCTGACAGGGAAGCTGGCTTTGTTTGGGACACAGCTCCAAGGGGCAGCAGGAAACAGGGTGGGGATTTTTCTTCTCACCTGCAACGACAACAAAAAGCAATATGAAGACCTTCCCTCAAGACCCTACTGGTACTACCAGGGGGTAGGGTGGCAGAAGAGCTTGCAGAAAGCAGAAGTGGCCTCGGCATTCAGCCCTGAGATGCAGGACTCAGTCCAGTTGTCCTACCCTCTCTTGGCCTCCCTGTGTCCCGGGGTCCAGTCTGAGGATCCCGCTTACAGGTCACAGAGGACCCTGGGATGCCACTTTGACCCGTGCCTATGCGTGCAGCGCAGACTGAGTGCAGATGTCATGGAAGTCAAAAGGGCACTGCCTGCCTGGCTTTGGCCATTGAGTGGGCCTAGCCCAGCTGCCACGTGGTTCCCAGTGCCCAAAGCTACATCCCTGCCAGCTCCGCCCCGCTCTCCCTAAGGCACCACCCCTGCTTGGCTCCTCCAGCACAATTTCCCCCCAGGTATTTGCCCTGCTCCTCCCCAGCTTTCCCTCAGCTTCGCCATGCTCCATCCCCAGCTATGTGCGGCTGAGCCCTGTACCTCTCCAGCAATCCACCAGCTCGGCCCTGCTTTCTCACAGTTCCGCCCCGAGTCCTACAGGTCGGCCTCCAGATATATTACCCCCCGGTTCCGCCTTCTCCTCACATTTCCGCCCCCAACTACTCCCCCAGCTGTTTCCCACCGGCCCGCCCACAGGTACTCTTCCCCCAGCTCTGCCCAGCTTTCCCTAGGTCCTCCTTCTCCCCCAGCCCTTTCCCCAAGTCCTCCCCAGATACTGCTCCCTGAGCTCTGCCTCCCCAGCTTCCCTGCACCTCCGCCTCCGCCACCCCCTGCGGCAGATCTTCCTCCACCAGCTTTTTCACAGCACCGCCCCCAGCTCGTGTGCAGCTCTTTCTCCTGGCTCCTCCGACCCCGTCCCGCAGCCCCTCCCCTCGCTTTCCCACAGTCCCGCCCCCAGCTACGCCCCCTGGCTCTGTTCCAGGCGTCGCACCCAGCTACTCTTCACCCCCTCCAGCCCCGCCTTCTCCCAAGCCCTCCCTTGATTGGCCTAGTCCCGCCCCTTCCTGTCCCCACCCCACAGCATTTTGCCCTCCCCCTCCGTTTCTCGCCGGGGGCCTCGAGGCCGCGTCCTACCCCGGTCATCTTGCGAGTCTCAGTGTCCCGTGAGTCCAACAACCTAGCAACCGTGGGCTGCGTGCGTGTGTACTTATGTGCGTGTTTAAGTCACTGCCTGGCTGCTTGTCTGCGTGCCAGCTAGGTGCTTGCTGCGTCCAGGCCTGCGTGGTGCTGTGTTGGGGGCCTGCTGCCGCTTCCCGGCCTGCTGCATGCTGCTGCGTCAGGGCCCGGTGCTGAGTTTGGGCGTGCGTCCTGCTGTGCTCCAGAGTGCTGCTTAGGTTTGTATGTGTCTACAGGCTTTCGTAAGCCCGGCGAAAAGGGGTTTGTGTATCTGCCAGCCCAGGGTGATTAACAACGCTAGCTCCTTCCACCTCTCACCGGTCTCTGGGAGGCTGGGGCGCATCCACGATGCGGGCCTAGGGCTCTGCGGTGTCTCTGCGTCCCGTCTCGGAGTCCTCTCCTCATCGGGGCCTGGGAGGCGGTCATTTCGACGCTGGCAGTCTTGCAGGGCCGCGGGGAGGGGGGGACTCTCCTGCCTGGTGGCCTCGCTGGGTCAGCCCAGAGCATCGAGACTTGCTTGGCCAGTGGGGCCAGGAGACCTGCCTCACCAGGAGGGAGTCAGGACCTGCCGGCCTGCTGGGCCCTCCAAAGGACGGTACTCTGCACCTGCCGGCCTGCTGGGCCCTCCAAAGGACGGTACTTCAGGGTTGGGGCTTCTTCTGTGTGGCTGGGAACACTCCCACTGCAGCCAAGGCCACACTCTTCGGTCTCCTCTGGCTACCTCCACTTGCCCACCATACTTGTAAGTGTGTGGGGGCCGGCAATGGGCCTCTGCACATAGAAACGCGAGTGTACTGGTCCACATGCACGGGTCTGTCCTCCCTGCTTCCTGCTTGGCCCTTTGGCTGTCACCACTGCACCCAGGCCCCAGGCTGTGCAGTGCAGACACACCCAGCTGTGCACTGCACAGCCTGGGGCCTGGGTGCCCATGCCACCCCGCCCAGAGGGACCTACCCAGGATTACATTGAGGGAAACGGCATTGTAGGGTCCCCAAATTCTTCCCACGTGATGATGTGAGGGGAGGGGAGAGTTTTCTCCTCTTGGATACCAGGTCTGCTGGGCTGTAAGGACACGACCTGCCTACGTGAAATGATTTTCTATGTGGCTGGCGGGGCCATCATGTGGTCCCTGACCAGGTAGGGGAGGAGAGAGCCACTGCCACGATTCAGAGAAACAAACCGTGAGCGAAGGGCCACGGCCACGTGTGCTTCCCATCAGTTGGAACCTCCTCGGTCCTGGTGGTTTCCAATCCCTGCAGAGTAGAAGACTGTTCTGGTATATTAGCCAACATTGCTGTCTTGTCCCTAATGGCCTTTTCTCATTATCCCTCTTGCCTTTGTGCAGGTGAAGAAGCAGAGACACGTGGAAGAGTGTTTATTCCTCAGGCCGCTAAGCAGGTACTCTGCACTGTGTGGCAGCAGGGCACTCAGCCCCCTCTGTGCCTCTACAGTTAACGCCAGTTTCTCCCTGGGGGTGCCAGCCACACAGTTCAGGTCTCCTTGTTGTGGTTTTGGGGGAACCTTGATGAGAAAAGGGCCAAGAAACTCAACGGTGGAACCTAGGCATATACCCCAGAAGAAGAAGTGGAAATGGCCAGGCCACAGGGGGACATCCAGCCTCCGTCCTAAATAATCCAAACCTAATGACTAGGGCCACCCTTTGTCACCCGTCAGGTGGGCAAAGGTTAAGCACAGTGATGATGCTCAGGGCCGACAAGCGTGTGAGGACATGGCACCAGTACCGTGGTTGGTAGAGCATGCACGGGTGAGCTTCGGTGGAAGGCCGTTTGCTGGCATGTATCAGCATCTCAGATGTGCATGCATGTGACCCAGGTGTCCTCCTAACAAGTCTTCAGTCAACGAGTGTTTGTGGTAGTGCCCTTTAGAGTGGCAGAAAGTGCAAAGCAGCCTGTGACTCTTCGTCAGTAGGGGAAACTCAGTAAATCGTAGGGCAGCCAACAATGGGGTACCATGCAGGCAGCCAAAAATAGGATAGGAGAAAATGCAGGCACGTGAAGGAGTGTGCTTGAAGTGCTGCCAATGGCAGAATCATTCTCTGCCCTGTGAAGATGTGCGGGGAAAGAGCCTATGCCTCTGTAGTCGTTTGTCGGGCTGGTCACATCAAAGAGCCGCGGCCCGAGTGGCTTAAACAACAGACAGGTATTGTCTCACAGCTGCAGAGGCTGGAGGTCCGAGATCGAGGTGTCGGCCGAGTTTGCTGCTTCTGAGGACTGAGAGAGAATCTGCCCATCTCGGTCCCCAGGGTTCTGGTGGTCTGCAGGCAAGCTTTGGCATCCCTTGGCTTGTAGATCTCGGCCTTCATCTTCACAAGGTATTCATTCTCTGGCGTGTGTGTCTGTCTGTAAGTTCTCCCTTTAGGTGAGGACAGGACACCAGTCATTGGATGGGGCCTCATTTTAACTTGATTACCTCTGTAAAGCCCTTTTCTTAATGGATACGGTCACAGAAGCAAGAAGGGTGGGGTCCAGAGCACACAGGAAGACAGCCCAGCCAGAGACAGGGAGGGAAGGTAGACAAGCTGGGCACAGGGACTGGCAGGACAGTGGGCTGGGAAGGGAGTGAACACGAGGCAGCTTCGTCCCCCAGGCGTTGTCTTTGAGAGTGGATGTGTTCTCATAAACACGAGAGGACATAAGAGCTGAGGTGAGGTTTATGTCCTTTAAAGACAGGAGGGGAGAGACAAACGAGAGTGGGTGTGCTCATGGATGGAGGGCAGAGGCGAGGCTCAGGCCCCATGATGATGATGATGATGATGGGCAGCCACCGGTTGTGGCTGTCCTGTTAGGTTGGTGCCAGGTACTCACAACCCCTTGGAGACTGAGGCTCCGCCAGGTACTCTGACCCAGCTGAGTCTCCGGCCCAGGGCCCTGCTCCTCGCACAGCACAGCTTTGTCCTCCAACGAGGAGGAAGGACCTCTGTCCTAGGTACGAGGAAAGGCGGCAAGGGCAGGGGCTCACGCAGTCAGGTTCCCCGTGACCGTGGGTCGTCCGTTCACCCTCGGTGCCACCTTCCTAACTGCAGAGTGGAGTGACAGTGGCGCCACCCCTACCCAGTTATTTGAGGATTCAATTCTAGGATCCGTGGATCACACTCATCCCAGGGCCAGGCATGGGGTCGGGGCGTGCGTACCAGGGGCAGTTGTTCCTGCTCCTGTTTTCCATTTCTCCGAGCTCGGGTGGGTGCCAGGGGTGTCTGCTGACAGTCGATACCCGTGGGGTAGCAAGGGGATAGAGGAGGGTGGTACCCAAAGGGGTCCGGAGGAGATACCTGAGAGGGTTATCTGAGATCACACGGTGTCCCCGGGGCCCAGCTGAGGCTGGATCCCGAGGATTTGCACTCAGCAGCCCTGGGGCACGGGCCAGGGTGCTTGGGGACCTGCAGTGTCTTGCGAGTGGCAGGGCCAGGGCGCTGAGAGTGTTGGGGTGGGTGGGGAGAAGAAGCAAAGCCCAGGGTGCCCATTGCTGGGAGAGGACTAGAGCCCGCCCACCCACCCAGGGGTGAAGCCAAAGGTCCCTCCCTCCCTGCTCTGTGCTCCCCTGGCCTCAGTGACCTCCTCTGTAGAACTGACCACACCCTGTCCTGACTTCCTTTCTGTAGCTGTGCCCACCCTCTTCCCTGAGCCCCCAAAAGACGCCATCTAATGGATGAGGCACTCCCAGCACCAGCCTCTTTCCTTGGGCCTGTCAGCTGACTGCGTGGTGATAGGAAGAAGGAGCCAACGCCCTCTGCTCCCCTACCATCCCTGTCAGTGGGGTTCCTGAGTCCCCAGGGGACAGTGGGCGGAGGTCAGCCCACAGGCCATGAGCTTGGAGGGCTGGTGCACGACGCTTACTGACATTGGTGCTTCTGTGTTTTCCGCAGGCCACGTGAGGCCCACGGATCTCCGGGGAGATGAAGTTCTGCTGCCTGTCCTTCCGGCAGCCTTATGCAGGTTTTGTCTTAAATGGGGTCAAGACTCTGGAGACTCGTTGGCGTCCTTTGCTGAGCAGCCACCGGCACTGTACCATCGCCGTCCACATTGCTCACAGGGACTGGGAAGATGCCGCCTGGAGGGAACTGCTGCTGCAGAGGCTGGGGAGGAGCCCTGCTCAGATTCAGGCCTTGCTCCGGGAAGGGGAGAAGTATGGCCGTGGCGTGATAGCTGGCAAGTGGCGACACCCCGAGCACTGCTCAGACATCTCCAGGGGCACCCCCCAGGACCTTGCTCAGGAGTTTTGGGGCTTGTTTTCTTTAGAACCTGTTGCGGTGGGGCTGTGGTTTCTATAAGCAGCACACTTTCAAAGGGGCATCAGGGGGCCCCGGGGCACCCGGGTTGAGCGTCCGTGGGACAAGTTTCCAGGACCTTGGGTGAACCCTTTTGTCCACTCTGGGCCTCAGTTCCCATTGATGATCTGAGAGGCAGGGACCAGTCCAAGGCGGCATGTGGTGTTGCCTGTGTGCACACGTGTGTGTCTGTGCATACGTGTGCCCGCATGCGGGGCCGGCCGCGAGAGACTGCACAGCACACAGAGAGGGCCGGGTGACCTCCAGACTCAGGCGTCACACACCTGCCCCACCCCCACTGCCCATGGGCACCTGAGCAAGTTCCCTCACCCCTCAGTGGTTGAGGTCCCACATCAGCTCCTTTCACCTGGTGACGTGCTTGGGACCCGATGGCCTGTGGGCTCCCCGCGGCAGCCGGGGCCCTTCTGACCTGTACGTGCTGCCCTCAGCAGTCTGCCTGGAACCTGCCCGTTCCTGGGTGGAGTTGTTGAGGACAAGGCCCTGTCCTCTTCATTTCTCTCTCTGCTGCGGCCTCACCCACAATGCCCTGAACAGAGCTGGACTCATCGGAAGTGCTCAGTGAGAGGGACCCAGTTCACTCCGTGTCCGTGTGGTGATATCAGCTTAGTCTCTAGCGGCTGTAACTTTGAATAACCGTTTTCTCTCGCAGGCAGGCCTTGGTCGATGGAAGGAAAAACATCTCTGTGCTTCTCTCTTGGTGCGCAGGGCTCGTTGACATTGGGGAAACTTTGCAGTGCCCGGAAAACTTAGCTCCTGATGAGCTTGTGGAGCTGGAAAATCAAGCTGTACTGACCAACCTGAAGCAGAAGTACCTGACTGCACTTTCAAACCCCAGGTGGTTACTGGAGCCCATACCCAGGACAGGTGGGAAGGATATCTTCCAGGTGGACATCCCAGAGTACCTGATCCCCTCGGGGCAAGAGGACTCCTCACAGGAAGGTTACCGAGAAACCAGCTGACTCCTGACTATGGGGACGCCATCATGCCGCGGACGCAAAAATCAGGCTCAGTCTGAAGCGGCAGCACAGTGGAGAGGGCTGCCCGCCACCTGCTGCTCATGTAGACAGCCTTCTGTGCTCAGATGCAGCGGCTTTTCCTCGGGAGATGCCTCTCTGGGCTCACTGACACTCTCAAGGGCTTTGACCTTCAGGAAAAAAGGAAAGTGTCCCCTGAATATCTTGGTGATGTTACTCATTTAGGTCCCGCTCATTCCTGGGTTGTACAGACAAATATGTTTTAAGAGAACGGGTTAGTGTTCGGGGCTCCCTTACATGTTTTCTCCTCTCTCTTCGTTCTGGTCAAACTCAGAGAACGCTTTAGCAGCAGGCAGGGGATGTTGTGGGAGGGCTGGGAGTGGCCGCTGAATGGTTACCCGAGGGTGACCGGCCAGGGACGGCCTCGTGCACCATGAAGGGGACGTCAGACTTTGAAACACAGCACCTGCCTGTCCTGGCAAGTGATGCTTGCTCTGTTGTAAAAGTGTCCCTTGGCTCATGAAGCCGTGTGTTAGACATGTCACACAGCTACTTTGTGACCAAAGAAAGGATCTGAAATCCAGCTCTGATGGAAAAGTGATGAGTAGTGTTTTGTCTGTTTGTTTGTTTGTTTTGTGGGCAACCTTTTATTTATTTGGGCCCCTTCCAGCAGTTACTAGTGGTTGTTAGCTGTGAGGATGATGGGCTTTCTCCCAGGGGTTGACTGGAATGGCCCTGTCTTCTGAGCCAGACTGCCCTGGTCAGAGATGGCTGAGCAGATAAGGTGGCCCTAGTTTTATGTGGGTCTCTCTGGAAGGTCCCTGGAAATGGGGCTAGAGACGCACAGCTGCTGGTCAGAAACTTCCTGGCATCACAGGGGAACTCGTGAGGAAAGACCCTCCTGTTTTAAGGTACATGACTATTGTAAGGTGATTCCGCCTTCCCCCCAAGGTCAGGAGCCAGGCAGCTCTCTCTCCTGACCAGCAGGCGAGGCTCAGGGGACCCAATCTTCCTGAGCTTGCTTCAGAGCTCCCTAGCCAGACCCTGGGCTGAGTGTGTGAAAATGAATGAGGACAATGGGGACAAAAGCCTGTCTCGGGCCAGGATTACTAGCCTCCTGGGGCTCGTCTGACGAGGTGTGTGTAGCATGGAAACAGAAGGGCATGGACTCACAAGTCTCATTGTTAATTTACTACCATGGAGCTGTGCTTTTCTTCATTGAAGCCGAAAATGGATTTGTGGGTACAAAGTGGTGACTGTTTTCTGTCAATTGGGGGCTTAGGGGCCTGTACTGTCCTTGAATTGCTCACAGACTGCACACGAGCAATCTGAGGAGCCCTCCTCCTCCCCAACCTCGTCAGGGTCTGTGGGTGGGGCCATGACTGAAAGGGCAGCCATCAGGATGGAATAACAGGTGAACAGGTGTACAAAGCCGTCACCGGATCGTACAGTGGGTGACCTGGGTGGCTGGCGGGCAGTTCCCCTGTGCCATCGGTTCCGGCAGGAGCCGTGGGCGCAAACGTGACACTCCCGGGTGTGCCCTCTCCACTTGGGCCACCTGGCTTACTTGGGCCCTGGACCATGATGGCACTGCTTGTGGACCGCAGACCCGAGAACTTGAATGACTGGGTGCCACTGGGTCCCTGAGCACTTGGAGCCTTCTGGGTCTTTGGGTCGGCTGCTTTGCTGCCTTCTCTATGGTTCATTCTTGGGGAGTGTCCTGTAGGGGCCACCTGCTGCTGCTTCCTCTTTGGAGGTGTTGCGCCGGTCCCTGGCCAAGCCGCAGTAGTTATCAGGTTGTCTTTTCTCTTAATGTTCTCGATGAGCCAAAGTTGGTCTCTTTGAAAGTTGGAGTTGCGGTAGATCTGAAACAAAATTAATGATTTTAGTCATTCTGGGAGAAAATATATCTGACATTAACTGGCCTCTCAGAGTCTTAGTCTGTGGCTTCTGCACAGCCTCGCAGCCATAGAGAAAGCACTGAGCTCTGGGCTCTGGGGCCCTGGGGGTTAGCCGGGCTTCGAAGAGTAGATACGATAGAGCCTTGTGGTTCTAAGACCCCAAGCCACTCCCCCGAGCTGCTGAGTAACATCAGTTGGACAGGTGAGCCCCTCTCTGATGCCACTCTTCCAGCTGTTCCCTTGCCTTCCTCCTAATTTAGTCCAATCAGGCTGCCATACCAAAATACCACAGAGTGAGTAGCTTATCAACCACAGGCATTTATTTCCCACCATTCTGGAGGCTGGAAGTCCACGATTAAGGTGCCAGCCTGCTGCAGTGAGGGCCTTCCTCGCTGCAATCCTCACATCGCAGAAAGAGCTGGGATCTCTCTGGAGCCTTATAAGGAGCCTCAGCACCTTATAAGCTGCTACTCCCACCCCTGGGAGGTCAGCCCTCATGACTTAAGCACCTCCCAAAGGACCAGCCTCCTAATGCTGTCATCTTTGGGGGTGAGGATTTCAACATCAGCCTGCTAGGGGCCACACGAACATTGAAACGATAGCACTCCCTTCTGCACAGCGCCCTCCTGACCCAAAAACCCATGGAGGGACTCCTGCCGTGAGGGACTCCCCTCTACCTCCGCCCAGTTCAGGCCCAATGCAATAAAGCCCCTTGCATATTGCTGCCTCTGCTGGTGATAATCTTCTTCCCCGATCAGCCCCCAATCCCTGGAACCTTACAGTTTGCTAATGAGCTCTCTTGCAATCACATGGCTGCCCCTTAGAGGCTGATGGTTATCGGACCTGAGGTGCATGTTTTTCAGGGGTCCATTGTGGAGGGACTTAAAAGGCTGACAAGGCAGGAAAATACACCCTTGAGCTTCTGGACCCCAAACTCACAAATCCTGATTGACTGCCTTTCACGCTAATCTCCAACCTGAACCTGTCCACTACAGGCTGTTTGAGCTTCAGCAGGTTGGGTGTTGAATGGAAGCCAGCAAAGCTCAGTGAACAGACGCTCTCGACTCTGGCACTGTTGCAGATTTGAGATACCGCTCTGTGGAGTCTGAATCCGTCAAAGCATCCTGAGTGCTGTCCTGTGCCACCTGGGTCCCTTGCCGATGCCGGGGATGAAGGGCTTGATCTCTCATGGGACCCAGTGAGTCAGAGTTGGTCGTGGACACTGCATTTCTGATGCAGTCGATTGCACTCCTCGCTCAAGATGCCCGTGGAGGCCTCACGTGGTAGCAGGGCCCCTCCCAGGGACTGGGAGCCCTCCACACACTCTGACTTGGACCCCCTCTAGGGAGGGTCTTCTGCATTGACTTGTTGGGCAGGACTGGCCCGATTAGTTGCAGTTTGCACCCAGGGCTGATTGTCTGCTTCCTCACCTCTCTCCTGGTGCTTGCACCGGTACTCACTGAGCAGACTCCAGGGGAGGCGTTGCCCTTTTCCTGACCCTGCAGTGGAGACGCAGGCAGGATGAAAAGGGTTATGGAAACCCATTTTGAAACTGGAAAATTCAGAATTTCATCCTGAGCACTTCCCGAACATGGCATGTTTTTCCGGTTCGCTTGAATGACAGTGTTTGCGAAAATGCTTTTTGTTCCTCTTGCACGCAGCCCTTCCAGCTGAAGGAGACTAGGGGAGAAGAGAGGATGATCAGAGGATGATCGACGAAGACACTGTAGAGTTTGCTAAGGGAATGGGACCCACTGATTCAGTAAGGATGGAGGGAAAACGAAACCCGACACCTAGGCTTAAGGATCTAGGTTTTCCAGAGCTGCTCCTGAGAGCTTTTGTCCTCCTGAGGAAAACTCCCCTTGCTGCTTTTGCAAGTGCCAGGAATCCAAACTGACTTGCTGAGCCTGGGAGCACACCTCACAGTGTGGACTAGGACACACCCAGGTGGGCCCAGCTCTGGCACTTCCCACACACACAGCACCTGTACAGGTCATCCCCACTGGCCACAGACAGCCTAAACTGTTTGCAGCTGACTGCCTTCACCACTCTCCCTGACTCCCAGGGGACTCATTTCTGGTCCTCTAGCTTGAAGCTGGGACTTCAGACTCCCCACACTACTGCGCACTTCCCTTCGATGCATCTGACTCGCTGGCCAAGTGGCAGGGGCACAGACAGAGAAGTAACAGAATGGATTCCTCTCACACTTCTGGTTAACGCAGCTTCTGTTAAGTTTCCTTTCTCTTTGATTTTCTGCACTTTGAATATGATATGCCTAATGCAGATGATTTGTTGTTGTTGTTAATTATCCTACTTGGTGTTCTCCGAGCTTCCTGAACGTGTGGTTTCATGTCACTAATTGATTTGGGCACATCCTCAGCCATGACCACTTCAAATATTTTTCTTGTTTCTTCCTCTTTCCTCCTTTTCTCCTCTTCCACTTATGCATACCTTACAACTTTTGTACTTGTCCAGCATTTCTTGGATATGTTCTTCCATCACTTTCATTCTTCGTTCTCTTTACATTTCAGTTTTGGAAGTTTCTGTTGACACTTCTTCAAGCTTGCGCATCATGTCCCCAGCTGTGCCCAGTCCATTGATGAGCTGGCAAAAGCTGCTGTTCATTTCTGTCACATTGTGTGATTTGTAAATAAAATATATTTTCTTATGGTGGTAAAATACACAGAGCATAAAACTTGCCCTCCTAACCATTTTTAAATGTACAGTACAGTGGTATTAAGTACAACTCTTTTTGTTGTGCAACCATCACCACCGCCCATCTCCAGAATTCTTTTCCTCCTGCAATACTGGAACTCTATACCTATTAAACCATAACTCCGCATTGCCCCTTCTCCTCAGTCCCTGGCACCTACCTTTCTACTTTCCATCTCTAGGAATCTGACTACTCAAAGTACCTCCTATCAGGGGACTCGTACAGCATTTGTGTGTGTGTGTGTGTGTGTGTGTGTGTGTGTGTCGTCTTCCCCTTAGCATGATGTCCTCGAGGCTCATCTGTGTTGCAGCACATGTCAGGATTTTCTTCCTTTTGGAGGCTGAATAGTATTCCATTAAATCACATTGCGCTTATCCATTTGTCTATTGATAGATGTTTGGTCTGCTTTCGCATTTTAGCTATTATGAACTATACGGCCATGAACATGGGTGTACAAATCTCATTTTGAGACCCAGATTTCAATTTGGGGTGTATATACTCAGAAGTAGGATTGCTGGATCATATGGTAGTTGTTTTTCCTTTTTGAGGAAACACCACCATACCGTTTTCCACAGTGCCTGTGTCATTTTACAGTCCTACCAACAGCGCACAACGGTCCACTTTCTCCCAATCTTTGCCAGCACTTGTGATTTCCTGTTTTGTTTTGTTTTTTTTCTTTTTCGGATTAGTGATGTGGAGCACCTTTTCATTTTCCCATTGCCATGTGAATATCTTCTTTGGAGATATGTCTCTTCAGTTCCATTGCCCACTTTTGAATAGAGTTGACTGTTTTTCTTGCAAAAGTGAGGTAGGTCTATGTGTGCTGTCTTGGGAATATCCTGTATCCAGATTATTAAGTGGTAAAGGCACATGGCAGATCAATGGGTAATGCCCCATGTTTCATAGCACATCTGTGTATGAAAAAAATGTTAGCATAAGATTTGAAATCATATATACCAATATGTCATTTGTGGTGACCTCTG